CTGCCATGACTGTACCGGACAGCTGAGCCATTCTCAGCCACAACACTGCAGACTGCTGCTGCACTGCTATTTTGCTCCACTCTATATATATTTTCTGCTCAGATGCGTAAATTCTTGCATATATTTGTTATCTTATTTTTTATTATTTATTTTATTTTATTTTTTTCTGTCTATAGTTATTTTGTTTTCTATTTTCCTGTTGCTCATTCCCAGGGCGACGCCAACAGCTGACATCACATTCCTTGTATGTTGTGTACGTACTTGGCCATTAAAGCTGATTCTGGTTCGATTGTAAAGCAAGAATCTTTGCATCAATCACTTGACTATTCATATTTTTTTGCGCTTCCTAGAAATGATTGTACTCTATTATGAGATACTGATAGTGCCGCTGTGTACCTTCTTGTGTGTTGAGTCCTATTTGGTAGTACAAGATCAGCCCGTTCTGCTTGGAGATGGGAACAGGCTCCCAGGACAAAGTCACATCAGTGGCTCCGATAGAAGACACCTCAAATAAAGGCACTGCAGAGGGAGCTGTTTAACAAAGAAACAAGGATTACAAGTTTATCTTCCATCTAATATGAGGACATAAGAAAGGTCAAAAGGAGCTAAAATCAGCACAGAAACCTTTTGAAAGTATGACATTAACACAACACAGAAACACTGACTTGTTTGAGAAGAATATCCGGCCACTGATGCCAGCTGATGGACCTGGTGGCTGCTAGAGACGGCCAATAAGGACACTTGGTACTGTGTGGACTTCTTGAATTGACCTGTAGGTGGAGACACACAACTGAGTCAAATATCTGCCTCAGCTTCAAACATATTTTATTCCTGGAGGGGATTTTCAAGAATTTACTTTTCAAGTTCCAACTGTGATCAGGGATCACCACTAAGAGGTGGTTTCTTTGAAGTTCTTTGCCACGTTAATGACCACCCAGTCAGACATTTTTAAATATTTTGGCAAAACCATTGCTGTGTGATCAATCTAAAACAAAATGACCTTTAAAAAATGCTGTTGTCTGGCTTTTGTTCACTTTGATCCAGTCAAAGCCTTGGCCAGGAGGACACCCTGCTTCTTTGTATTGCACCACATATTCCTTCAGCTTGTCCGAGAGCTGAGCCGGCCCATCCCAGGACACGGTGAGGTTGTCTTGGTTCATCTGGAGGTACATCGGTTGATCATTTGGTTCTTTACCTTAACAAGAGACAAACACTTTGCTAAACATGCTGAGCCACAGGAAAAGGAAAAATACACATCAATAACTTGAGTAACCTTATAAAATTAAATGCAAAGCGGGACTTTCGTCATCACAGCACAAAGGCGGGGCCGTTTTCACAAACTTCTAATCTTATCAGTCGGAGTCGTCCTGAACGGTTGGGGTGCGGCAGCAGCTAAAAACCAAACTAGTGGGTTCCTAGAATCCTAAAAACTGATCAAACTTGTTAAATTAAATAGAGATCCAATAAAAAATACAGGTTTCATTAACAGACGTTTCGGCTGATTGGACTGAACTCATTTTATTCTTTGATGGGGTACTTCTACATTTTAGAATACACTGGCGGCAATGACATCAGCTTTGTCAGTTTTTTCCATTTGTGATCTGTACAGAACATTTAATGAACCATCAAACACGGGTGGATGGTTTCAGCACCACAAACTGCCTTTTTCCAGTGTCTGGTGGAGAGATGGTCAAACTGTTGTCTCTGGTAGCACCACACTGTTTCAGCTCATCGTCGAGCTGATTTGATTTGATTACTAGGTCACTGCGATCCAAGTATACTTGTAAAAGTTCATTGTTATATTTCTGCAAAACACTGAGACAATGAGGCTCATTAACTGCATCATTTGATCATGTAAAGGAAATCTTTGGCACTAACATGTCCTCTGGATAGTCTGTAATCGTTCTCTCATTTAGAAGCTGCTTTTATCTCTAAAATGCTTAAAAACTAAAACTCTCAGGTTTGGTACTCAGTTAGGCCTGGTGCTACTGTTGAAGTTAAAAGTATCTCCTAATTGAACCAGTTAGCCGCTACTGTGAGTGTGTGGACGTTTTGTGAAAAAGGCCCCTACACAAAGCTTTCCGTAGTTGTATGACTGTCTGCGTCACTGGTACCTGCTCTTCTTGGCATAGCTAGATAAGAAGGCACTGTGGCACCAAGAGCATTGTAGGCTGATACGCTGGCTGATAATAAATCCTTGAGAGGGGAGTCCAGGCACCATTTCATGTCATCATACACGAGGTGGCTGCTTGGTTCAGCTGTGGACATATTCATCAGCGACGAGGTGCCATTATTGTAAACAATTCTGACTTCATATCCCAGGATGAGCCCACGTGCCTGAGAGTTTGAAAGATTCTGGAGGGGTTAAAAAGAGGAGAGGACAGTGAGGGGTGAGTCTGCATACAGTGAGACAGGCTCGATGCGTGAACTCTGAACATACCTTCCATGTCAGGAAGCAGTCCTGACTTGTGGTGGACATCCCACAGTCCCTCCATACGTCCACCTCTCCAACCGGGGCTGAACAACACAAGTAAAAGAGACAGTAAGTCAGTCTGTGACTGCAGGTGAGATTTTTTTTCAGCCTTTTCCAAATTCTTGCAAACAACATGACAGATGAAGACTCACCTGACTCTGCACTTTTAATTCTAAGGATTGTACTCCAGTCACTCGTGAGGCCTGTCATACAGGCACAACGGACTTGAAATTCATAGACGGTGCCAGGCTGGGGGTCCAGGAACGTATAGACACCATGTAGCCCACTCTCATGCTGTGTTGAAGAGAAGGACAAGCTTGAATTCAATGATCAACACCTTTTGCTGCTTAGTTGTTTTTTTTATCAGCTGCTTTCATTTATTCATTCATTCACTAACTCATCAGCACTGTCAACGCATCAAACTACTCAGAAGAGAAACATAGGAAAGACAAAACCAAGTCAAACTGACCCCGGGCCAGTCTCGGTCCTCTTCAGTCCGATGTCGCACTTCACAGGTCCCGATTGCCAGCTGAGCACAGGTGGTATTCCAGTGAATCTCTAATGGCTCCTGATAACTTGATGAGAACTTTGGAGGGAGCGGCTTGACTAGGGAGACAAGTCAAAACCTATTTCTTTCTATTGAAACACTCAATTATCTTGATTCTGATTTCTTAAGAGAAATCAGAAACTTCAACTGTTATTGCTTTTATTCATGAGTGGATGTGCAAGCTAGACTCACTGATATCTTCTGTGTTGAAGACAATCTCCTCAGATTTGGCAGAACCATACTGGTTCCTGGCCTGGACCCAAACACGAAGTTCTCCATGGCTAAAGTCTTTACGACCAATAAAGCCACTTTGACTGGTCCCACTGGTGGCATGCCCATCCCTGGAAGGGTGACAAGTCAGGACAAGAAAAGACAAGACAGAAGAAAAGGACTCAACAAATTCAGATGCTGTCTTCTGATGTTAAAGTTGTCAAAAGATTACGACAAGGAATATCTTTATGTTTACTCGCTACTGGCTGGCTCCCAGTGCAGGCTGTAGTTAGTGGGGATTTTAGGATCTGGCTCTGGATCCCAGATACACTGTATGCCTCCTAAACAGTGTGTCTCATGACACTGTCGATAGCACTGAAGGTGAGAGGGAGGAGCAGGGGGACCTGGAAATTTACAAAGAGAAAGAGAAAAAAACTCATGTGGGACAGAACAACGCATTTTGAAGAAAGCACACTGCATTCACCAGTGGACAAATGAATGCAGATACTGAGATACATGCATATATATATATATATACACACATATACAGATATAAACCAATATGTTTATTCTCTCTAAACTATCATACTATGATGGCTCAGCGTAGCAACTCGTTTCAGTCGTGGTTAGGAACGTTTCGATATGACTACAGAGCCAATGGCTCATTTCACAAGAAAAAGGCAGTGATGTTATGGCCAGGAGCAAAATGTTTGATTCATGAGCCAAATGAAAAAAAGGCAGTGACCCATTTTAGGAAACTACGAGGATATGAATCACCAAAAACACAAAGATGCACACAGGTCACATGGACGACAACTGAACTGAGGAAATCAAATCACACAGAACTGACTTATCATCACATCTGGGTAATTTACTGCTTACTTAACACTTATTCATATGTATTGTTGTTTTAGTGGATTAAATTTAATTGTCATAATAAAAGAGACACGAGAAAGAGGAAGTCAGTTGTAGAGGGTGAAGATAAAACAAAGCTACCAAGCAGCAGATGGAAGACTGTTCTTAACCACATTCAGTGAATGCTGCAGAATGCTGTTCACTCATCTGCATCTCACCGCATTCATCACCAGACTGTAACCTACACCCATTTCTGGTAAGTCTGTACACGTTTAGCAGTAACTAGCTCAATACCTGCAGACAACACGTTTCAGGAAAGCAGAATGTCAGTAACGCTAACAGGAAGTGAACATTCTGGGTCAAAATGACTGCACTCTTCCTCTATGACCACTTCCCCTTCAATACATAAAATAAAATCATATACGGTCAGAAAATATCCATGCATGTGACCTGAATATGATATTCTGGCACAGGTTTTCAAAACTGTTGAGCCTGATGTGATGTGTTTATTGTGGGTGTAGTTCTGTAGCAGCAAAACAAAGTATGTATGTTAAAGTCAGTGTTTGCATGCAGCTGGTTGAAATGTGGACTGAAGCGTGAGGATGGAGCTTTAACATGCTGAACCTGCTCTGGCACAGTTTAGTCTTTGACAATAAACTATTTCTGATCAGCTGCTAATAGATTTTATATGCAAATACTACCAGGTAAAGGCGGCCGTTAGTGGGCTGTGAGTGAGCAGCAGGACAGGAAGAGATGAGAACAGGTGAGCTCGGGGATTGGAGGAGCCTACCTGCAGCACAGCAGCCTGACAGGGCGACCAGCAGCACGGACGGCAGCCACCGAGCTGCAGGGGTGGCCATCACACCTGGACCCGGGCCTCCGGAGCCTGAGGACGACACAAGCCAATCAAATATATGTTCAAAGACACCACACCGGCCACCACACCACATCCTCCAGTTGGGTCTGAACCGCTGAATGCAGGACCAGCTCACCGACATGTGGAGTCTCTGCCCCCTCACCTGGAGGGGGGTCTGGCTGGCTCACCCACCCTCCTCACCTGGAGGGGGGTCTGGCTGGCTCACCCACCCTTCTCACCTGGAAGGAGGTCCGGCCGGCTAACCTACCCTCCTCACCTGGAAGGAGGTCCGGCCAGCTAACCTAACCTCCTCACCTGGAGGGGGGTCTGGCCGGCTGACTAGTGATGTGCGGATCGATACTGAAATATCGATACCTCGATACCAGATCTTTACGCTCTGAAATCGATTCTCAAATCAAAATATCGATACTATTGATACTAAGTCACTTGAGGTAATATAGATCATTACCAGGAGCACAGCGGAAAGTAACTGAACTATTGAGATCTGGACTAAATGACAAGCGGTTGGTGGGAACTATTTTTTCTTCCGCCTGGGTAAGTGCGTAATGCGTAAGCACCGCGGCACGCTGCTCAGTCAGTTAGTCTGACAGAGTGTAAACGGAGTCAAACAGCCAATATGCGGTTTGTGATGTTTGAAGAAGCTGTGGCAACACAACACCTCAAGTTAAAGCACAACCCAGAATACGAGGCATTTCTGATGAGGCGGACAGAAGAGGAGAGCAGGTCAGGTGCTGCTGCTTCTGGGGCAGGACAGGTGTCTGTGGAGGCAGCAGCGTCCAGGTAGAGACGGAGGACATGTGGAGCTTTAAGTAGCGCAGAGCACTGCTGCTGTTCAAGTGAATAAATATGGTTATGAAATAAATACACGCTTCAACAAATAGCTGCATGAGTTCAGTTTGGAGTAATAATATGTGTATCACTGAGATAATACCACAGGCAATAAAGTCATATCATTTAAAGTTGATTACATAGACGAGGTGTCATTACATTATGCAGAGCGCCAAAACAGCCACGTGAACTTGGAGAAATATACACTAGAAAATATGGATAAAAATAACATTTTATCTATGAAGCATATCTATTATTATTTACAATCAGTCTAATCTGCTTTAACTGTAAAATGAATATTTTTAAAATGTAGGTACTGACAAACTTGTGTAATTATTCTGTCATTTATTCTAAATGTTCTGTGTCTGGCTTTCTGCTCTATCAGCCGGGCTGTCCAGTTAACCAGGCTCAGGGCTGCTTCAGAATACTGTAAAATCAATAAATAATCTACTCTGATGTCTTGTGTAATTATGAAGCTATGATTTGAAGTACAGACTGTTTTTATCGGTATCGGCTCGGTATCGCCGATACCAGCCTGCATTTTACTCGGTATCGGATCGGAGAGAAAACCAGTGGTATCGAGCATCACTACAGCTAACCTAACCAGCAGGCTGCCGGTGGAGCTGCCGGTGGAGCTACCGGTGGACCTGCCGGTGGACCTGCCGGTGGAGCTGCCGGTGGACCTGCCGGTGGAGCTGCCGGTGGACCTGCCGGTGGAGCTGCCGGTGCAACACGTTTCCTCCCGGACGGACTGGAGTTAAATGAAGCCAATAGCGATGACAGAAGCTCGCTGAGCGCCGCGGTGTCGGTCCGGATGTACCGGACGGGAGCGTCTCAACCTGTACAACCGACGGGTATCGTATGAAGCAGAGCTCCGGTGAGTCATGTTTACCTCGGTACCGGACACACGACGGGGCATCCTGCAGCGGGGCAGCTCCTTCCTCAACGACCAGCTCAGCCGTCCTTCCCGTTAGCCGCCTGGCCCCGCCCCTTTCTGGAAATGTCGGTGACGTACGCGAGCACGCGCACTATGCACACGCGCGTAGGGCACGACGGAGGAACAAACTTCCTGGCTGACGTCCGAAGAGCTGCATGTGGCCCTGGGGCAGGTGTTTTTAATGCTTTATTCCTGAGAAGCAACACAGGAGGTGATGTTTTTATTATTACAGGAAAACGTCTTCTGAAAAAAACATTAGAAATAAAATGAAGATCATCCACATGACAGGTGCAGAGAAGCATTTTTTTCCCTCCCCAAGCTCTTTTTGTTGGTGTGCACAGCCTTTAACAGCATGTAAAGCTGTGTCATGAATATAAACCAACCAAATACAAGCTAAAGCAGAGCACCTTTTCTCAACAACCTAACCTCCATTAAAGCTCACTTTGCTTTCATTTCTTGCTTCTTACACAACCTGTGGTTTCATGCCGGGGCTCAGTGCCTCTATGGTCCTCCTGTCAGTGTTCACCGCCTGCCGTTACTGTCACAACACCTGAGAACTTAAAAACAGGACTTCTTACAGCCTGAGGCGTTTCACCTAAAATGACAAGTTGTATGGATGGACAGCATAGAGTTCACTCAACTTAACGAAACTGGCATATAAACAGATTTCCCAGGACACATTGTAGACACTCTTGTTTTTTATAGTAAGAAAACACACACAGTAGAAATGTTATTTATAATAATCAAAATAGTTCTAATCATGACAAAGGCTAGTACTTCATCAGTCCCTATAACAGCAGACCTACAGTCAGAAGCAGCGCCACACATTGTCTTTCAACAGGCTCTGGTTAAAAATGGTGTTGAACAGGAAGTCTGCAGTTTCTTGCTGTTAGATATCCTGTTTTTATTAACCTGTTTTTGCAACTTCAGTTAACGCAAATCAGCGACTTTTACAGTTTCACAACTCATAATATGATTTCGAACCAGATAATCAACCAAAGTGCAGTTACCTCACAGGCAGGAGATAATTTATGTTTATGAGCAAAATCAACTTGAAAAGATTTATGGTGTAATAAAACGGAGCATATGCAGCATAAAAGTAAACCTACATGCTATTTCCTACTACAACTCATTTTAACTTTACAATATCTTCTGTGCCAATATTTTGTGTTACTGAGTTTTGACTAACTTCACTTTTGCAGATGCCATAATAACATTCTCCTCCCTGTTCAGCACAAGGAGCAAAAGCATCCGTTCATTGACATCTGAAGTGTGGCCTATTTTTGATATGTCTCTTACAAGGTTTGATTATTTACTTCTTGTCACTTCAAACATAACATGCAGTCGCAGTACAGCGGAAAACTATTGGTTTAGTGGTTTAGTTGTGACACCGTCAGGCTGTGTTGTTGGCAATTGCCTCAAAGAGTGATTTCCTCTCAAAATGTCTCAGACGGTTTCATTTCAAGTAAATGTTAAATGCCCAGAAGGATTCAGTTTACCATTATTTCACTGAAGAACCAGAAACTAGCTCCACTATAAGCAGCCACATGAGTAAAAATAGCTTTTTCTCCTGTAAAATGCACTTTTATGCTGTATTAAAAACCATTTATGTAGTTTATACAATAATAACAGAGGTCATGTTGTGCAGATGAAGCACAACTAAATTTCTTCCACCACAGAGAGCACGTTGCTAAGGAAGTATGGTGATGCAAAACATGCCTGGACAGCATATTTCATGTAAAGTAAGACTTTTTTTTAAATCTTGGTAATTGAGGAAAGAACACATGTCAACATATTCTTCAGGAAGACAATTTTATGGTTGTATAACACTTTTTATTGTTGTTATCATGGGTCTGAACTTGCAGCTCATTTAGCGCTCTGTGTGATGGGACACAAAAGCAAAGTGATTCACAAACAAGACGAGACTGAACATGAGTGACTCTTTATGCAGTTGCTGTCAAATTGTTTTAACAAAGCATCTTATTCCCTTGAGTTCTCAGCAGCAGCAACAAGTCAGCTGGCAATGAAAGAACCATACACATATTATATACTTCACAGAGCATATAATGCATTTTGTTAACATTTTTGAAATACTTGTTTATGTATCCCTACAAAGAGACATAAAAAAAATCACCAGTAACTAAAAAAATGAAACACTTTGAGCAGATCATACATGTTAAACTGAAACACTGGTTATAAAACTACCTAAGATTCATGAGAAGGGAGGAAAACATGATGGTGTGTCTGTCGGTTTATTAATGTGTACAATACGTTTGCCAGCGTGTGCACGGCGGTCCTCAGCAAAGGGAGCTGATCTCACTCTTGCTGCAGCCCCACTTGCAGCAGGCGTTGGACAGACCCACCACCACATCCCGGCCTTTGCGGTCGGCTTTGCGAAGAGCCTCCAGGATCTCCTCGGTGATGAAGGAACGGGTAGGCCTGCTAAACGCTGCATCCTGGTTGTCTCTGGCTGTCGAGCTCAGATCTCTGTTTCTTTGAAGGAGATTCTCCACCACAAAGTTGTGGTTCAAGCCTTCTGAGGACTCATCCTGACGGGAGCTGAAAGGGTCTTCTGAAACATCTGCTCAAAGAAAACGACAAGACGAGGCTAAGTTAAATAAAAGTTTGTCCATTATCTGCATTGATGCGAAGATTTGTTTAAAATGACACGACAGAGTGACTGAATGGCAGAAGTCCTGGAACCTTGTCGGATTTAGCTGCTGGGTCTGAGGCTCAAACAACATTTGGAAAGTGGTTTTATGATGACATATAGTACAGCATTGTTAATGAGATTCTGGAGTTTTATTCCTTAAACACAGACCAAGCCAGTCATACCAAACTATATAAACATTCAGTTTAAATATAATCAGTATAGTCAGTCATGCTGCACTAAAATCATTTCCTTTCATTGTTATTTGCTTCTTTGCACATTTGCACACAACCACAAATGAGCAGAAACTGTAAACACATAGACCCTATCATGGATATGCAATTCATTCACATGGATCCCGAAAAATCCATCCATCCATCTACACCTTAATCCTCATTAGGGTCGTGGGGGGCTGGAGTCTATCCCAGCTGACTCAGGGTGAAGGCAGGTTCACCTGGACAGGTAACCAGTCTATCACAGGGCTACACTTAGAGACAGACAACCAAGCACACTCACATTCACACCTACGGACAATTTAGAATCACCAATTAACCTCAGCATGTTTCTGGACTGTGGGAGGAAGCTGGAGAACCCGGAGAGAACCCACACTGCACGGGGAGAACATGGAGACTCCACGCAGAAAGATCCCGGGTGTCCTCACCGGGACGCGAACCGGCGACCTTCTTGCTGTGAGACAACAGTGCTAACCACTGCGCCACCTTGCAGCCCCAGAAAAAATCCAATTAGTTTTTATCTAACGAAGTATATCTAGAAATGAAATTATAAAATGAACACATTTCAGATTAGATCCTATGCATTGTCTCAAGATGAAGTCTCAGTGTATTATAAGTAAATGACCAGTAATGGGGAAGATATAGTAGCACCTTCATTCCTACCTGCACTCCTGAGTGACCGTCTCCATCGTGAACCTCCACAAGTGAAGATAACTGCTCGGATGAACTCGCGGCCACAGAGCTTCACCCCGTACGTTGGGTCCTCCATGGGCTGAACTCCAGCCACAAACAGACACACAGCCAGAGCCACGGCTTTCCACATAGCACCCCAAGCAGATAAAACAAGGAGGAAACGTTTGAAATGGGAGGAGATGGTTTGCTTTGACCAGCTCTTAGCTTTCAGGCTCCTCTTTTGCATCAGCTATGACTTAGTAGGTGGCCCAGGCGTGGTTTATAAAGGGTTCGAAGCCCTGCAACGGAGACGTGCACACTGCGCATGCAGGCCTTCGCTGAGACAACAACAGATTGGAAAGAGAGATACAGCGAGAGACCTTTATGGAGACAAAAAGCGGACCAAAGGTGGCATAATTAACGAATATGTTAGAAGGCTCGATGATCTAATTTGTGCTTCACAATGTGACGTGCTGTTGTCACCTTCCATGTCCCTGCATATTAGGACTTCATCAGATCCCACTTTGCAGCAGTCCGCGGTATATGTGGTGGTCATACTAACAGACAAGACAAATAAACCTTTTACAGTTCTCTTTCTATCTGTAAATCCAAGAGGAAAACTCAGAAACATACATTTGGAATACATTTCTTCTGCTGTGTCTGATTTGGTATTTTGTTAGAAGTCACTCACGATAATGTCCCTGTACCTCACAGATGCCATCGGTTGCAGTGGAATGTGTGCAACTATTCTGCAAACTCAATGAATTAGTCAAACAAATCAAACTGAGAAAAAATGAATGTATAATTTATCATAACAGCAAAAATGTATGTTCAGTTTGCAGATGACACCAATGACGAGGGACACTCAGCCCACACAGCAACATACTGAATCCTAAAAGAAGAGCTGTATTAAAATGTCGCTCATTTAAAAAGTAAACATAATGCAGACTTATAGGAAAGGCAGCACCTGAACAATGAGCCTTTTAGGGCTAATTATGAATATTGCCAGATAACACAATGACACCACCACCGCAGGGATATATTTAGAGCATTGTGATTGATATTAGAATTATTTGCATCAGCCATTTGAACCCTCATAGGACCATGTATAACTACCATATGTGCAGTTTTTCTTTTCTCCTGAAATGTGCTTATTCTGTCAGCGCTTTGCCTAAAGGTGAGCCGGAGGGACCGAGACAGGACCAGTGACATTTTCAACGTCAGATAACATAGAAGTCTTTTTATGAGTCAGACAAAAATAAAACACATTTTTATCTATGTATCCACATAGACAAAGGTCACTCATTTAGAAAATTACAATAGGGATGATGAATTTGTAATTATTGTGCAGATAAAAAGCAAAGTAAATGGCATTTTGGAAGGGCTTCCAACCTGACACTCATTACCACATTGTCATAGAAGCTAATTGTGGAGGTCACTGCAGCAATATCAAAATGCTACGGACCGTACTTCAATAAATAAATGAGTGGTGTTTGGAAACAACCCACAAACTACTTCTGTGTTCAGCACACAGCAGATGTTGTCGTCTGTTTGACGCTGAGTAAGACGACTGCTATTCAGGGGTAGCAGTAGCTGGGAACAGGACTTCACACTTCTTATAGACTACGCACTCACAGAGAGACAAACATAATGTAACCAAGTGTAGTATGGTTCATCATGTAACGTTGTCCATTAGTGATGACAGGCAAGAATCAGAAATGAGAGGAAACGTGCCTGGGATAAGGTATTCACACTGCACAGTACAGCACTGCAATCATCATTCTCCTGTTGGCTTTTTTTTGTTTTAATCTACTCAATTTAAAGATTGTTTGTGTGCTTTTTTATTCTCTTTTTAAATGACCTTGCTGGTGATGCTGATATGCTGTTTCTGGAACCTGTGAATATATTCATTACAGGAAAAGAACGTGTGTCACACGCAAAAATAAAAACCCGTGGTAAAGAAAGGAAGAAACTGATCGCCAACTACTAGAGTCAAATCAGTTTTCATTATTTATCAGATAAGTACAACTGTTAGATCCTTAGATCAGTTTCAGTGCCTCAAAATGTCAAATGTCAAAACGACACGTGTGTCATCACTGAAGATGAACGGACAGCAGTGGCTCCAGGCCCAGCTTTACATCTCCTCTAGTTACTATGACACCACCAAACCAGGACTGGGACAGTTCTGACAAGCACTAAGGCCAACCTATGACTGTCTCTGGCGTATCATGAACCTTGGTTGTAAAAACGGAATGCCCATGATGGACAGGGATCTTCCACAAATGGGCGTGGAACGCTTTGTAGTAACATATTCCTGCCGCGGTCCCTTTAAGACGATTCGGCAGCTCTCAGCCAATCAGAGCCTCGCAGGGGGAGGGAAGGGAGCGGGTGGGTAGCAACAGTTGCCCTGGTGAGGACGAAGCGCCATAGCCACGGTAGCCCTGGCGACAAGAACCCAGCAACGAGAATCAACAACAACAACAACCGAATCCGCCATAAAAATAAAAGAAGATATTTCACCAGTGGGAAATACACACGTGGACCCGGAGGTGACGCTCTCAACACACAGAAAATATTTTATGTCCTCTAACGCTTCAATGAATTGTGCTGTTGCTTTTCCCTTGTTGTGTCAGTAGCCATAACACGCAACTGCCTCCCAGTGCTACTGAGGTTAGCCTGCCAGCTAGCCGTCCGTCCAGGAATCCGCCACTGCGTTTCTTGGATGCGGCACTTTGTGTGTGCTGCTCAGGCGGGTGACTCCGGGTTTTCTGCCATGACGACGCGGCCACAGATGCGTACTCAGGCAGGCCGTTGTTATGGCGATGTCAAATGCAAAAGGTACAAAATGGCGGTTGTTGTAGAGACCAGTTAGCTGCTGCCCGTGTTGCCTCGCTAGAGCTAGCAGCAGCGGTGTCACGACGGGCTTGTGCTCGCTGCTGCTTACAGCTGACGTGTCGAGCGGCCACCGGTGGACCCCGGTCCTGCTACGGAACATCCCGAGCAGCCGATGGCGGTTCAACACGTCCTGCTGCCCCCCGGTAGCGCCGGAGACACGGGCTGCCCGGGAGGAGGCCACGGCCGGAGAGTTTGGCTCAAAGTGCGGCGACTGATACGTGTTTGTGTTCGTGTTGAGGCAGCGGACGAGCTGGGACGTTTACCGGCGGCCCAAATACGTTTGTGTCGGTAACGGAAAGTTGAGGAAGCCGTGGCAGGTGCAGACGGTTAGCATGGAGGGGCGTGGCCAAGGAGGGCGTGCTGCAGGTGCTCGGCAGGTCTGAGTTCAGCTTCAGCTCTTTGTTCAGTGGGTTGCTAAATAAACAAGCTGGCAGACTTGTTGCAGGGTTTCTTCCAGTAATGAACCATTAACTGGCGTAAGTAAGGTCCTGGTTTGGTTTGAAAATACGGACACAAACACAATAATGATTGCACGGTTATAACACGGAATACACCCTCTGTCCTCTGTTAAGGGCTGGTTTTCTATTTTAGCAGCCCTAATAGCCATGAAAATGGACCAAAACACTAATTGCAGAGTTTAATATGTGAGGTCTGCCATTAACACGTCACGCTGTGATGTTCAGGGCCTCCTGTACCTGAGTGGGAGGCATGCCAGGGT